GTGATCAATAAAAAATTCCTTCGGTGAGATATTCAGCCTCATAGAAGAATCAAAACAATGTATTTCTAATATGAAACTTGGCTCATACATAGCCCTAGTAGTGTTTAGGAAGTTTCAAAATTTTCAGGAACAACTGTTGCTTCTTTCGCGAGATACAGAATATTGAAGGTTTTAGCAATTTTTAGCAAAATTTAGCTAGTTTTTGGATTTCGAATATCTCAGCAAGAAAGCATCCGTTCTAAGTGAAAATTTCGGAGCATATTAAGTATTATCAAAACTATCTAAAGGCAAAGTTTCAGATCGAAATTCCTATTTTTTCGAATTTTTACAGGGATGGATATTCCTGCCAAAGGAGGTTGTGTAGGTCCAGAATAAGAAGAAGGTAATTATTTTTAACTGTAGTACGAGTATACTGAGGGTCCATAATCTCTGTTTTTCTAATTAGATTCTCATTTTTATAAGCTGAAGCCACTTCGGCTTTTAAGGGTTAACGAGCATAGCTACACTTTGAATTAGCCATGGATTGTTGTATGAACAAATAATACACATTATCTCTTTTAAATTCACAATGAAATTGAGATATGAGTATGAGTACTCAGTCATGAAAAAAATTATAAAGTTAACTGTTTGTAAAAAGAGAAAAATCATATGCACTTGATCATAACAAGCTTTGTTGTTTTTTCATATGCTATACATATATATGCTCGTTAATTACACTCTTTATTATTTTCAATAGAAAAAAAAATTTTTGAAGCGAAGTTAAGAAATCGACATAAAAATAAAAAATATGAGTATAATAAAAAAATGAAAAATTTTTGTATTTTTCATTCGATTCGTATGAAAATATCAAAGAAAATCTATATAGTAAAATTAAGATTTAATCTTATACGATCACTTTTTTTTTTTTAATTATAAAACTTCAGCATATATTTTTTAAAACAATCTATAAAATAAAACTTATCAGTTAGTAATAAGATTTGTCAAGATGAAACTAATTGTTGATCAATATTATTTTCTTGAATTTCAATTCAAAATATTCTTTCATATATTCTAATATTTTTTTTTTTTTTTTTTTTTTTTTTAACATATATATTTATTGTGCCATATGAATGTTTTGGTTCACAATATGTTTAAAAAGAACAAGTACGAGTAATATAAGAATGAGAAACGAAGAGAAAAAAAAACAACATGAAAAATAAGTGAAGACAAAGATAACAATGCAAAGAGAAAACACTACCGGTTACATGTAGAGAAAAAGAGAAACAGACAAATCAAATCTCAGGGGAAGATAGAAAATATTTAAACACAAATGTATTCAGTGCGTTTGTGGAATTTCTAAAGCAGTCATATTGCTTGATATGGACACAATCAAATGCAGCCCATTCCATGAGGCAGTTCTTTGCTTGCCTAACTAATCTGTTATAAAATCTACTGTTCATTCTAAACCCCAGTTGATTCGTCCAGCATTTATTAACATCCGTTAATAACAGATAGGCATTCAAATTTTGTTGAAATGCAAGAGCTTCTGGTGATGACAACAGGTGATGCACTAATTTTCTCCAATATACAAAAAGAAAATCGTATATAGATTTCTCTCTCGTTATAACTAATGTTGTATAATCATCCCAACTATACGTTCCATGAACGATTTTCAGACCGGTGCAGAATTTATGTTCGATCCTCTCCTTCTGTTTCTCAGTAAAGAAAAACCAGGTTGTAAAGAGCCATATGTAATGGGGGAGCGCGTATGCATAAAAAATTTTCTTGCGAATTTTTATTTCTTTCTTATTGACTGTTCTAAAAATTATCTTCATAGCATTATGAACTTTAGTGATGGTCTTTAGTCTTTCATTTATGTACTTATCCCAACCTAATTTAACTGATATATGCACTCCCAGATATTTAAATCTATCAACAAATTCTATTTCTTGCGAATATATTCTAATATTCTATATTCATATTGATGATTGAATTTAAGTTAAAAATAAAAAACTCAAAGTGATTTAAAATCGATTCATTCACTAATTTCGAACGGTAAGAATATATTCTAAATATAAATGAAATTGTTCAAACACGAACAATAAACATATTAACTGGGTACTGCAAACAATTTCAATCGAAGAACAATCACCATCACCACTATGGATATTTGTGTACAAACAAGATACAATGAAAAACATCTACTAGATGATCATTAAGTTATAATTTTAAAAGTTATTTCTACTATCGATTCTTATTTGCGAAAATCTATAGTCATAATTCAATGTACTAATGTTTATAAAAAAAATGAAACAATAATTTTTCAATCGATTTCTTACTATATAAGTTTTACAATAGAGTTGAAAAGTATTTCCCGTACAGTCTACGTGTGACCTTTATAAACCAGAACAAAATGAATCATGTGCAACATAAAATGAAACCTCTTTTTTTTTTCTTGCAATATTCGTCGTAACATTACCTTTCTTTCTTTTTTTTTTTTTGTATCTGAATATTTTCTTCCTTTCAATACGTGTATTACAAATGTATTATATGCACATAGGTTATTTTTATTGATAACAAAATCGTACAAAGTAAGTTACTTTTCTTTTTTCTCATTGATTTTCGACTCGGATAAACTTGTATGTAAGTCTTCATTAAACGAAGACTACTGTTCATCAATTTGCAAATTTGTTACTCATAGGAAACAAGATTAAATCGAATGAAAATGTATTTATTTGATCTTCTCTCTTGATTAAAAATCCATTGAACAAAAAAAAAAGAAGAGTTTTAAATAGAATCAACTTATACATTTGAATAAGGTAAATTCAAAAAGAAAATTGTTCTCTAAGAAAAATAATTTAGGAAATATAGAATAAAAGAGTAAAATCTCGAACTTTTAAATGCAAATATATAACTGTTTCTAAGTGTTATTAATGAAAGTGAAAAAGTTACTTCATTATGATTAAACGATCTAAACATATTTAAATATCGTCTAATAGATTCAATAATATTTCGATAGTTATTTGTTTATAATCTTTTATTATGAAAAGTTTAATAACAAACATATTAAAATTTATAATGATATATTTATGTCAGAAAGAAAACAAAAAAATCCATATTTGTAATAATTTCAAGATTGCTGAGTAAGCTTTGTCTATTATTACTTTTGTATCTGTTTAAGTAACGAATCAACTTGTGCTTATACAACTTCTATAGTTTTATTTAATGCATAAAATTCTGATCATTCAAACATAAACTCTATCATAATCTTTGACTTCAGTAATATCTTACTTTATATAATTAACGTTATTATATAAAATTTAATTTCTATTGTAATTTTTAATTTAAACAAATATAAATTATCTTTGAGAACAAATCAAAAAGAAAATAGATAACTCTGAAATAAACATTAAAAAAATAATTATTAGGAAATAACAAAGGTTCAAAAGTATAATCGCTGCATTTGTATCATGGACTAAAACAAAAAGAAAGACTAAATATTTCAATTTATTCATTGCTTTTACACAAAAAAAAAAATTTTTGTTTTTTAAAGATAAATCTACTTTTTTAGATGACTGAACATTGTACTAATTTTAATCCGAGTGTATTTAAGCCGAATATATGTCGTGATTGTTTTCTAAATAAAGAATATCATCAAAATAGTATAACTAGTATTCAAACGTCTGTTTCTCATAAAATAATTGATAACAATGATCAATACAATCAGAATAAAATAGATGAAGATTCTAAATCAATATCATTTGAAATTAACCTTCCATCATGTAAATATGGTTTATCATGTGATAGAACAAATTCTAATCATTTTGAACATTATTCACATCCATCTGGTTATAAACGACGTGAAAAATTCTCTGAAATTGATGATATTGATGTTCCTATTGTTAGTAATGATAGTCCTACTACTAAATGTGAACTCAAACTAAGAAAAAAACTTGAAGAATAGAAAAAATCTGAACTTCATTTTATTGAATTCATTCAAAGTAAAGTTGAAAATTTAATTGTTCAATTAGAATTAAAAGCTGAAGAAATTACAAAATTACGTCAAGATTGAACAAAATTAATTACATATAATAAACAATTAGAAATAAAACTTGAAGAAGAAATAGATTATCGTAAACAACGTGAATTAGAACGAAAGAAAATCTTAACTATTCCAAGACAAACATCAATATATTGGCGTTTAAGTATTTTTCAAGAACCTTATCGTGAAATTGAATTATCGACTCAATCATTTGAATTTGATATTATTAAACAATTGATAAATTCAACAATATCACAACATAATAACAAATATGGAACAGTTAATGGACAAAATCCAACTGAATTTTTAATTAAAAAAATAGTACGAATACACAATGATGAATTATGGCATCTTTATTCTTATAAAAAAGTAAGATTAGATTCTATAAGAATTACATATAAACTGTCTTTTTTTGTTTTCTTTATACATATTTGTAATTTTTTCTTCGAAAATTTTGCTGAAACCGAGAAAGAGAAATACTATGTTATTGTCATTTTCAAAAAGACAAATTATAAAATAATTTATAGAAAAACAGAAACTTTTATAGTTATACGAAAATTGAGTCGATTTTGAAAAAGTTTTGTAAATTTTAAGAAGAAATGAAATTAAAGAATTTCTTCGCTGTTATTAAGTTAAAAATTTTTCTCTTAAAAAAACGCATAAATTGTAAGATAAAACATATTTACAGAAGATACTTTTCTTTATAATCAATTCTTAGAAGTATACGAAAAAAGAAAAACCCGTCATATCAATAGAAAATATAATCTTTATCTTCAAATGTTTCTTGTACAGATTTTATCATAGAAATGTTCAATCATCTTCACTAAAAGTTTTAAATTCAATTAATACAAATCACTAATAATTATGATTAATATAATATTAAATTGAAATTCTCTTATTTCAAAAGCTGAAAGTAATTTTATTGAAAGAAAATGTTTTGAATATTATTAGGATATGATCATTCGTCAAAATAATGATAGATTAGCTGATTGTGGTAGTTCGATTTATTTAGAAACTCATCCAATATTAACACCATTATTAGATGCTAGAACAAACGAATATTGGCTTTTTCATGGATGTAGTCAAAATAATTTATATCATTTATTACATAGTGGTTATGATCCTCGTATATCGAATTTGAAGGGAAAATTTGGAGGTGGTTTCTATTTAGCTGAAAATTCTTCAAAATCAAATCGATATATTCCTTGTCCTGGAGATGTGGTCAAAATTCAATAGGTACAAATTCAGGATGTAATTGTATTAATCAACAAGATTTCGAATATTCAATGGTTTTATATCGAACTGCATTAGGTGATGTTCATATTGCATTAATATATGATAGAGATAAATACAGTTATGGTCATAATAGACAATGTATTCGTCGTCCACCTAAGAAAATACATAGTAAAGAATTATATGATTTAGTGATGGGTGAAAGTAAGAAAAATGGTGGTAATCTATTGAATCATCGTGAATTTATTTTATATGATGCAGGTCAAGCTTATCCGGAATATGTTATTTATTTTCATCGTTCATCTAAAAATGTACTTGAATCAAGCAATATAGAAGATTTTAAAATAAAATGTCTAAATTTTTTAACTGATACATTTTAATTACATCCATTATAAATTTAACTTCTTTGAAAAAATAAATAAAGATTATTAACTTGCAAAAATGAATGAATTTATCAGTCGAAAAGAATTTCGAATAAAAACACTCGTTTTATTATTGAAAAATAAACGTAATTTCAACAAGGCTAAAGTTTATAATCATCATCCAACAGTCTTAATGTTTTATTAATACGAAATATGTCATAATATTCATAGCTCCTTTTAAGTGAATATTGTACAATGAGATAAATACGTAAATTCATTTTCACATATATGCCCAAAGTCAACGATATGAAAATAGTTCCGATTTTGATACTCCTCCTCTCATGACTTCCACACTTTCACTTTCGAATTCGTTTAATATAATAATATTTTTATAAGCATTCAAATAACCTAAGAAAACTTCTGTATTAGACGATGAAATATTTTATTCTTTATTAGACAAAAATACAATTAGTAGTAGTATGATAACGTATCATTAAATTGTATGGATAATTGTGTTTAAAAAACTTCGGAGGGTAGTCATATTATATGAGCGAAAACAATTTAACAAAGAGTAATGATGAAGACACCATACAAGTTCTTAAATTCGAAAAATAGTAATTTTAAAAAGAGCATTTCTATAGTTCTAAAATGTGTAAGAATAGAGTAGATCGATACACATTCTTAGTAGTACGCTGAATAGAATACATTGTTATGTCCGTGTTTGACAAATTATGTTCAAAATCTCATATAATATATTGAAAATACAAAAAAATAATGAAATAGTTTTTGCATTATTTATCCATTATTGGCTGCATGATTACATGAGTTTTGTTGTTTGAAATCACTTTCAGAATCAAAATCCATCTTTAATATTTATAAAATGATTGAAGAAGACATTAGACAGAAAATGAATGGAAAAGAAACCCTGAGATTCCCGTAATGTCTTATAACTTAGTCGTTTTCTTTCTTGCTTTTTTTTTGATTCACATTGTGTAGAATTAAAAAAAAAATTCTACTTTAAGTTTCAAAGTCAACTTTCTAATTACTCTTCCTTTGTCAGTCCGTTATTAAAATGTCAGTAGCTGTTTTCTTTCACGATTAGTAGAAACAACTAGAATACATTTCATTATTCTATATTGACTCATCTTGCATAGATTGGCTTAACTCTGGAAATAATATTGAGAATTTGTCAGTTTCTTTTTTTTTTTTAATTAGTCAAAACCGGATTCTCTTCTGAAAACACAAACAT